AAAACCTGTCAGCCAGGATTGGGGTATAAAGTTGTTGGGAGTTGCTGGCACCTTATGCTGAAGCAACCAAGCCTGTCAGCCAGAACAGGGGTAACGTTGTTGGGAAGTGCTGGCGCCTTATTCTGAAGCAACTTGGAGTAAATTTGCTGGGAGGTGCCGGCGCTTTATTCTGAAGCACCAAAACCTGCTGACAGGATTGAGATAAAGTTGTTGGGAGGTGCTGACGCCTTACTCTGAAGCAACCCAACCTGTCCGCCAGGATTGGGGTAAACTTGCTGGGAGGTGTCAGCGCCTTGTTCTGAAGCAACCAAACAACCTGTCAGCCAGAGTTGGTCTAAAGTTGTCAGGTGCTCGCGCCGAGCAACCAACCAATCAACCAAAATCAACCAACCAACCCACATGTCAGCCAGGATTGGGGCAAAGTTGTTGGAAGGTGCTGGCGCCTTATTCCGAAGCAACCAAACCTGTCAGCCAGGATTGGGGTAAAGTTGTTGGGAGGTGCTGGCGACTTATTCTGAAGCAACCATACCTGTCAGCCAGGATTGGGGTAACGTTGTTGGGAGGTGCAGGCGCCTTATTCTGAAGCAACCAAACCTGTCAGCCAGGATTTGGTAATTAAAAGTTGTTCGGAGGTGCTGGCGCCATGTTCGAAGCATAGCCATTGGATACAGTTGTTGGGAGGTGCTGGCGGCCCATTCTGAAGCAACTAAACCTGCCAGCCAGGATTGGGGTACAGTTGTTTGGAAGTGCGGGTGGATGCACTATTGTTTCGCTTTCAGATGCTTTGCTGCCCCATTGTACCAAGCCAATCAGCAAGAGCTCAAGGCCTTGAGTCCATTCCTGAGGTGAAGAAGGCAACCCGCATCAACGCAGCACAGCTCGCAGCAGGCATGGGCTGGACAACGCCTTGAATATTTTGCTGCGTGGGGCAGATCCCGCACAGCTTCTCTCGTCAGCGACGAATATGGTTGACACGGCCCTTCACCTGGCGTGTCACAGACGACGGAAACGGACCATCCACGACTTCCTGGAAGCCAAGGCGGATTGCAATGCTCAGAACGGCAAGGGCCGAACGGCGTTGCACGTCATATCGCGGATCCCTTGCTACAATAGCTCTGATAAAGCAGAATTAGTTGGCATCATGCAAGCGCTATTGAACGCCACGGGTGAGATGCAGCCATTCTGGAGAACAACAGCGATTCGCCATTGCATCAGGCCAGAACATACGTCGTTGCATAAGGGAAAGGTTGTAGAGAGCTGATTTCGAACAAAGGAAGGTTTCAGGAAGACAGCCCAGGGTCAGGTGGGCTTCATAAGCCTGAGGCTGTCCTGCAACGAATAAACCTGCCACACCCGAGCCACCGGCAGCAACTTCAGCGGCCCCTTCTGCTAGGAGCTGCGCCGTGGCAGCACGCCTTCGGCTTCTTTTTGCATGAAAACCGTCGGGAGTCACGTCACGATCGTGTGTGGGATCTAGCGGACGGGCTCCTGTTTCCAAGTAGTGATGGTAAGAACAAGATATACATATCCGGGTCTCGATCTAGATGAGGCTTCTCTTTCAGCTGGCCATAACCCTGTTGGCATACCCTCAGGTGAGGAAGTACTGTTACTGCTCAAATTACTACATGTATAATTGCAAGTACTCTCGTTGCGAGCAGCAGTAGCTAGCCGTGCCGACAGATTGACTGTCACTGTCAATGTTCTCAGTGTTCTTGTTAATGCTAAGCGACGGATGGACACTAAGCAAAGGATCATGTCATGGTGCAGACCGGATCACAAGCCCTGCGAAAGGACCTGACGAAAAACCCTTATGCGATCGAACAATCATCCAAACTAGCATCTGAGGACAGCCTCTAAGTCTTCCTTTGGAGCCGACCAGTTTCCATAAGCCTCGAAAGACCGCCCGCTATACCTGACGCACGGCCCTGGGATAAGCCTAAACGACACACGAAAAACAAGACAAAATCTAAACTCTGAACCCCCTATTTAAACCGCAATCTGAACCTGAGCCTGAAACCGATAAACCCTCAGGCATGCTGCTTTTCCTCTCGTCGCTTCTCTCAGCCTGGCCTCAAAGTCCGACCCAGGCCGAATCCGCGGAGCGCCCCTGGCGGGACGACCTCTGATGCTTGTTTTTTGGAGTTCCGGGCAGGAATAAGGGGTTGGATGGTTTTTCGGGTTTTCAGCTTGGGTGTGGCTTGGGGGGGGGGGAGTTTCAGAATCAAAAAAGAACGCCAGCACAGAGCCCCCAAGAATGCGTTACAAGGGCGCGGCCAGTCCACAAAAAATTGAGTTTGAGGCTGGGCTCAGAGGTCTAGCAAACAGGATCCTGCCTCGTCGCAGAAGCCTAAAGACCAGATGAGGGCACGTTGGCCACCATCGGGCGAAGGCTGCCTAGAGATTCCGCTTCCGGCTTCAAGCTTTGAGAGTTCGTGGTTGACGGTTTGGGATCTAGGGTTGACGGTCGGCGATTTAGGGCTTTATCGCCAAAGCCACAGCTAGAGCCATCAAACAAGAGCTGTGATCGGCAACAAAGACAACTCTGAGGAACTTCAGCGTTTAGTCGGCTTGTCTCCGAGCCTGCGTTCCATCCGACCTTGACCCGCCAAAGCCTACTGTTGCGAGAGGTTCCTGTAGAGACATGCATCATTGGGTTCAACCCATACACCGAAGCTTTATGAGACCCTTAGAGCCCCGGTTGTCCCAATAGCCCCACCAGCCGCAACGTCAATGCGTAATTACGTCAAAACGCTCTGCCGGGCGACATGGCAGCGTGTAGCGCCAGCAGAGGCGGTCCTATGAACCCGGCCTGGTCTGAACGGGGAAGGCGAGATTTGCACAGTATGGAGTTTCAGAAGCATTGGCTGAGGGTTTTCGGTTTCCAGTTTCGTGATTTGGTGTCTAGGTCTTGGTTCAGTTCAGGGACCAGGTTTGAGTTGTACCAAGCGCCACTCCCAAACTGCAGACCTTGAAAAACCAAGTGCAGAAGTACAAAGAAAGCCCCTCCCTACCTTCCAACATTAGCAAAGCCTGAAGTGCGGAAGCCTCTCAATTTTTATCAGAGGTTGGCGACAGAGGGTTGAAGTTTAGAGGGCTTGGGATCTGCTAAAAGCGGTTGTCCGAGCATGATTCCACTTTTGTCTGCTTCAAGCCCGTTTCAGATCAAGGACCGTCCTTAGGGCTTGGGGTAGACAACCGTTTTGGCGGAGACCGCCGTCCGGACGAGCGGCGGGTGCCAAGAGTCTGGCATCACGAAGAAGGCATGAACATCTTCGGGACTAACGCAGTTGTGACGGGATGAACATGTACGCTAAATCCAAGCTGGCCTTGGCCATTTGTGGCATCTGTAGTGCGAAGCATCGTTGGACGCCTCAACGGACGGAAGAGAGAAACAGCTTTCCGGTTGCACAACACTCATCAAGAATCAGAATTCCAAAATTGGCTGATGCGGTGCCGTCGGGGCAATCTCCCGTCGCAGCTGCTGCAGCAGGGATTCGGACCTTCCGGAGTTCAGGGGCTTGTAATGTAACAATGTCGCGTTTGAATGCAGCAAGTTTCTCATCTGCAGAGCTGCAAACGTCAAAATATAGGCAAAACTATGTGGATGTGTCCTTATCCAAACAAGGGGCTCACCCCACAAATACCCCAATCCATCTCACCCTCCTTCACCCAATGCCTTCGTTTTGCAAACGTTTCCGGTGCTGGTTTTCGGGCTAGGGTTTGCATCCTGCAGCCTATGGCGACTTCCTGAGTCCGAGACCTCATCCGGCTGCACTTCCGATACTTCGGAACAGCAAAGAAAGCCTCCGTCGGGCATCGACGGCTTCGTGCTCAGGCTGGTTCTGCTTCTGGAGACTTTTCGGGTTGTAACAGGTTTGCAGCAGGACTGTACAAGGGAAGCTGTGACTGCGAGATAGAGTTTACGAATCTCTGGCCGCGGTCTGGCTTGTCGCATGGAGGGGGGCTTAGATTCGCGGGCTTTTGGTTACCCTCATTTACATTAAGGGGACATGGGTAGTTGGTGCGATGAGTGTGTCATCACAAGAGCCGAGGGGCAAGCGAAGTGGCGACACTTCATCCCAACTCCGAAGCCTTTGCCCTCAAAACAAGGATCCCAAACACGCAGTCCGTGCCCGGCTACGCAGGCCTTCGTTCAGCCACAGAGAGAGAAGCCGCAGCAACCTCCTCACAAGGTCAAGCATATCTTCATTCCTTTCCTCCACCAAGCCATGGCGTCCGAGCTATATGTAGAGCTAGTACTAACCGATTAACTAAAAGTTGAGGCTCAAGCTGCTCAGTTCGTCGCCTTGCTCATCAAAGCTTATGAACCCTCAATGGAACCCTGGACCCAGGGTCTCCCCTCCAGGCGCTCCACGGCGAATTGCGGCGTCCTTGGGAGATGGCCGGTTCTTTATCAGAAAAAAAGCTCCTTGAACCACCCGAGCTTTCACATGTACTTTCAGATGTGCAAGGTCTTGAGTCTCAGGATTGCAGACTGTCGACTCGCTTTAGGTTTTTGCCCCCGCAATCCTCAAGCTTCACCTCCATTCAATCTACTGAGATCTGGAGCAGTGCGCTATGGCACGAAGCTATGTGTTAGCAAGCTTTGGTCCCGGATCCTTCAAGGAATGAACACGCTCGGGATCCAGTACACGAAACTTCCCAGCTCAGCTCAGAGCCTGCTGCCGCTCCAGGTAAGGTAAGCCGCTTAATTGAGTAGCCACGGTGGCCCGTTCTAGCTGATGTATCGGATCAAACTCTGAACTAAACCCAGACGCTAACACCAAAATGCTCTAACGACCCACTGCTTCCAGGCTGCGGGGCCGCTTCGGCCACCCTGCGAAGCGCCACGCGCCAGTGCATCAGGGCGGTTAGCCCTGAGTTTCAGAAATTCAGAGAACCACTAAGGCTTCTGGGTCTTAGGCTTACAGGCCAGTTTTTGCAACGTTTACGGCGCTCACGGATTGGCGTTCCCGCGATTGCGGTAGTTTGAGGTTGAGGGCGCCAAGGCCGTTGTCAAGCTCGCAAAACGGTGGGCCACCTCCGGCCCACCGTTTTTATGAGCCACCGCCCCAAGTTTCACCGAACTTCCCACTTTCTCCACTTCAATCCCTCTATCTCCACGTGAGCTCAAACCTCAAATCCACACTCCAAGTCCGCACACCCGAACGCCAGTAAACGCGTAAGGTCCTGGACCCCAAACCATTCCTGCCCTCTTAACTACTGCTGTGCATCCCTCCCACAGGCCTTCACGCGGCCCTAGGACCGAAGGCAGCTGCCGGGCCACGACCTCCGCCGGGGAGCACGGCACTTCTGGGCTGTTGAAGGCCTTCCGGTGAAGTCTCTACGGGAAAAAGTGGCCTCGGTGAATGTCGGAGAGTTGGGAGCAGGAGGGTTGGTACGTCGGAAAGTATACATCGACTTGAGGCGAACATGACGCTGGAGTTAAAGCTTCCCAGCCTCGGTTGGCGCCGGCAGGGTGGGCACCATGGCCTCAAAGGCTAACTCTGGGGGCCGGGGCATTCACAAAAACTGCTGGCTGTTGGGACTGGGGCTCCGGATGATTGAAAAGGGAACAGTTTTTGCAAACCAGAACTGGAGGGTTTGCATTCGGGGATTATGGCGATTGGGTTTGGAGTTTCCGGTTTCGAGTGCCGGGTGTGAAAACTGTTCGCCGAAAATTTGGGCTGGCGAACTTCTTGTAAACCGCAACATTCAAGCTTTAGGCTCGAGATAAAAATTGTTGGATTCAGGTCTAAGGTTGCACCGCTCACTCACAGCAGAAGCCACCGGAGCACAATGAAAAAATAGAAACCTCTTTTCGCACAAACCACAAAGCTGAGCAGCATGTGAAGGATCGACAAAGTCACAACAGTATGCGTGAGGGTTGCACATGAAGGTTTGAATTCAAGAGTTTGTGGCCGAAACTTCCTCGACATGATAATGAGAAGTTTACAATGAGAAGCAAGGGCCACGGGGGATACGGCTGGTAGGTAAGTTTCGGGCACGGAGCATTCTTCCCCCCAAACAATGCAGCCACCAGATGGCTATGAACTATAAGCTTGTCGCCAAAGTTGAATGAACCGATATGCCCTCGCAGTGCCAACTCACGTGAACCTCACAGAGCCCAGTGTATCCCCTACAAACCCTCGCAACTCATGACCTGATGGTAACCACAACGAAATGAATACATAAATACTTGTCGTACTACTACCTGCTGCTACTACTACTACTACTACTACTACTACTACTACTACAGTACTGCTTGTTCTTGCTGTTGTAGTAGTTGTAACCGACGACGTAGCAACCGTAACAGCCGTAGTCGTAGCAGTAGCTGTCGTCGTCGTAGCAGTAGAAGTGGTAGCGAAGTCGTAGTCGTCGTCGTAGTAGTAGTAGTAGCAGGCGCCCCACCCCCGGCCCTACCAACGACACTTGTCCTGAACCATTAAGAGCAAATAAACTTCATTTGTTATTAGCGGAACTTTCGTATTATCCTACCACTTCTTGTTGTCTCAAAATCCA